TTCTCTATTTTGACTTGTACGGTGTGTTCCCGTGCCTTTTCGGGTAAACAATTTGCTTGCCTTTGCATGTGTTTGTGGCGGGTGCCACCAGTGGATTGGGATGAGCTCGCCTTTTTGCGAGCACCGAGTGTCATCATTATTTTATGGTGAATCATGACACATGCTCTTGGTGTTGTCGTGCAGTTGGCGCTACTTTTGGCAAGGGTTTCTTATGAAAATGGAAAGGCTGATGTTGCTTTTGCTAACTGATAAACATGAGATATAATGTCAGTGTATATGGTCATGTTATTAAGAAACAAACGGCGAGTGGGAGTTGTTTTTTGTTCAATAAACAACGACCACGACTCGTTTATTTCTTATATGAGATATCAACATTACGTACAGCCTCTTAAAACGTGTTAAATAAGGAAGAAGTACACACTTTAAAAATATTTACCCGTACTTAAATAATGATGACTCCCTGAATAGAATCTGAACACGGCAATGCCAGATAAATCCATTTTATGAACAGGAGGGTTAGAATTTTGTCTTTCCCGCATATTCTCAAAATTTTCTCATCGATTTGTTGTACCTTTTCAACCAATATCGAATGTCATATCGCTCTCACTTTCGGGTGCGATTGTTTTGGCATTGCATTTATCTACCTTCCCCATGTACATCTATGGGAAAAAACTCACTAGACATTTCCCTTCTTCTTGATGTATTGCGTAGCTACCTTATATCAACGAATGTCAATTTCTCATTGCTTTATCATGGCGTATCCGTGTCATAACCAATCATGTAGCAATAGCATGCACAAATATCGTTGACTTCGACATAGAATAGTGTCATGATATATGATTATCCTTTGGTGTGCAATATTTCAGGTTGATAAATCTAAAACATATGCTTACTTTTAAGAATAGGGACTATACATGTTTATATCACTTTATCAGGTCTCTGTAACATTTGCAGATAATACAAATTTAGTAATACAAGTGAACCTAAATATATGTATGTATGTTGTCATATTCTTAAGTTGCTGAGTGCGGCATTAAACAACAGACATACAAAACATAATATCTTAAAGAATTATGTTAACAATGCCGATGCTAAACATAATCTCCGCCATCTCCATATCTCTTTCTCTATGTTTAATATGAAAACATAATAACTTTTGTTAATAATCTGTAGGAATAATAATGACAATAATGTCATAATAAGATCATTATTATTTACGTTACTTATCCTCAACTGAAGTAGTCCTCCACACTATACTCGCATTAATGTGCTGACTTATTATTGCGTTAATTTCATGATTTACAGTATTCATGAAGAACATTTCACGTGGGACCAACAGAGGGAATTATGACTATAGACTTGCCAATTATATTTTAAATTCATGCTAGCTCAAGCGATCTATTGGTTTAATTTATTGTTATGGTATCCACAAAATAAGTAGGATCCGTTTTTTCCGTTTACAATGACATGCATCAACCAAGTTAGCGAGCCCGACCACCCGATCCCTTTAGTCGCATCTTACAACAATCATAGTCGCCTCTAACGGCAGGCATGAGTTGCTGAAGACATATCCTAACCCGGATCTTCAAAGGTCAAGTGAGATTCAACTGATATATTAAGATGAAATAAGACTGAATTATATTTGCTGGTTACATATCAAATTGTTACAAAATGTATTGTGCTAGGCACAGTATAACTGGACTGAGGGAGGGCCGTATTCCTCCTTATGGGTCACCTGCTTCGCAGAAGGGGACGGGAAAACAGCAGGGGGTGAGGGCAGTTAAGATGATGGTACAGACAGATAATAGAGTCTCAGATCATTTTACAAATGTGAAACCTCAGTCCACAAAGGAAGAGGTGAGATTTACAGAACAAAGGCAGTTATTTCTAGTTTCTTTCTGACTCTCGAGGATACATTTGACAAAACAATGAATGTGTGTGTGTGTGTGTGTGTGTGTGTGTGTGTGTGTGTGTGTGTGTGTGTGTGTGTGTGTGAAGAAAAATAAAAAGAAGAATTGTACAGCATAAGAGACACTACATTTTCAGTCATTAAAACGCGTAAAACATTTATTGAGTAAACGTAAACACTTAAAGTGAGTGAAACAAAAGACATCAGTACAGGCACACCCAGTCCCCCGACCCCAAGTCTGCATGTATAAATACTCATACCTGCCACATCCTCAACCACTTGACTGCCTCCGTGGTCTAGTGGTAGAGCGTCCACCCGGAGAGCGGAAGGTCCGGGGTTCGATCCCCGGCCGCGTCATACCAAAAGACGTTAAAAGATGGTACTTGTTGTTACCCTGTCTGGCGCTCAGCATTAAGGGGCTAAAATAAGGACTGGTCGGCTCGGAGTCAGTATACTGTGTCTGAGCGGGGTATTCATGTTAAACTTCGGCATGGTATCTCAGTTAGCTAGCACTATAACACACTTGGACACAATTAATTAAGATCCCCACCGTATAACCATATGAACAATTGCTGAGTATTGCTAATACCATTTGGTGTTTATAATTATGGCAACGTTTGCAACAGACGAATGCAGTCAGAGACCATCCTCTCAGTGGCAGGCCCGGCATAACCAATAATCGACAAGACAACTGGATTCGAACAACACACCTACGAAATCGATTCCAGCCAGCAACAGTGACTGCGAGAAGCATCCCTGGCCTTCGACGAATATCTTCACAAACCGTACGTCGCCGCCTCAGATGTGCAGGGACGTCTCATTTTGACAGGAAACCACCGTCAAGCACGTCTACAGTGGTGCAGACAGCGTCTACGCTGGACGGCCAAGCAGTGGGGACAAGTTCTATACCCTGACGAGTGTCGTTTTCACCTCAGCAAAAGCGATTGACGGATTCGAGTGTACCGACGTCAAGCATAGTGTCATGGTAGAAGATCGGTTCGCAGGCGGCAGCGTTATGGTATGGGGTGGCATTACAGCAAGACAGAGGACCCGTTTGATAGTGGTAGAGGGGAATCTCAATGGACAGCGCTACCGCGACGAGATCATCGGCCCTGTTGTTCTACCGTTTTTGCATCGTCATGGCCCAGGCATTTCCTTTCAACATGACAACGCCCGGCCTCATATTGCTCGACTTGTTCAGGAATCTCTTCAACAAAACAAGATGAATGTCATCCCCTGGCCGGCTCGCTCCCCTGATCTCTCACCAATTGAGCACATGTGGGATGACGTCAACCACGTGTTCGACAGACATGGGCAGAGATGGACAGATATCCCAAAGGACTTTGTGCGACGCCTGGTCCATGAGACGAAGATGTGTTGCTTGCATCGCAACCAGAGGTGGACACACACACTATTGATTTGTAAATTGACATTTTGGCATGTTCATGTTTTAAATGAAATCACGCATTTTCTGAAGTCAGTGTGGCAAATTAAACCATTTGAACACTTACTGGAGTCTTTTATCTGTTGCAAACCGAAATTGTTTCAGATTTGGTAAAAAACATTTGCATTAAGTCTTGTTCAATGTCACAGGAACTTTTCTTGTTCAGTATACAATTGTTGGGCATGAAGAGACAAACACAATTATGATCTTAGAATTGAGTCTGGGGTCTTTCCACACCCCTAGGGATTAAGTTCTTGGGTGCCAACTTGGCAACAGATGAGATCCCCACCCTTTTACCATATACATGCATACATGTAATTGCTTAGTACAAGACAAATAAATATATGCTACCAGGACTGGCCCTTCTGTTCATCTGTCCGTCACATCCAAAGGAGTTAGAACCTTGATCATAACATGCAAACCGATATTATCCCCATCCTATAATAAAGAGAAACATTGTATACATTTCTTTGTTATGAAGAGTATAATACATTTAAGACAATGGGATTCGCCCTGGGGTCCAGCATTGTTTCTCGAAACTTAAATCCTGGATCATAACATGGAAGTGGTTCAGATCTTTATGCTACATTTGTATCTAGAGAAGTACACGTTCATGCTGTCAGATTTGCCGCCCACCCCTTTTAAATGCTGACAAGAGTAAAAAATCCTAAACATTTGCAGTATTATATACATGTACAATGCAAATGTATATATTGTGATGATTGCGTAAATATCCAGGTGAGCGATACAGGCCCTTTGGGTCTCTTGTTTATATCGTGTAGTGATCCGTTTTCATGGGTTTGAATCCCCGACCACTGGTATGTCAGACACTCGTGGGGAAAAACACAGATCACCAGCAACAAATTCCTGTCGTAATAGGTGACTTAAGGAAGGTTAATCAGCAATAGTCCATGTATATAACGATGACTCGTTAATTAAAGTGACCGGACATGAAAATACAGTGATTAACATCATGAGCATGAGTTAGAATTGGGATACGATGACACGCAATCAACCAAGTCAGCGAGCCTGGCCATCCAATCCAATTAGTCGCATGTTTCATTCCAAATAATAAAGTATCATATATTACCTTCCCTAGCGAGTGAATAACTGAGTGAATATTGTTGCATTATTTATTGTTCAGAGGTGAAGTTGTTGAACTGGTATTTGATGTTAAGTACATAAAATTATATATCATGATACCAAATGATGTTTGATTCTGATTGTAAAAAAATAACATTGAAATGAAACCTCAGAATTAACAAGTTTATTCGCACACAAACGTGCGTATGAATACATAGCTCTTTCGATAGCCAACACGCAAATCCTATAATAATGGCAGGCGAATAGAACCCATTAGACACTTACTGGTACACTGCACAAGCACTTGATCACAACAGCTTACAAAAAATTGTGACTATCAGATCTTCATTCGTTGGCTCTTACAAGCATGGAGTAATGAGGACACATTCTGTTATGCTATTCGCCACACACAAATGCCATCCACACACACACATGCACGCACGCACATACACACAGACGCACACTTAACAAGGCAGGGTACATTGGTCAGTTTCCAGAACACATAAGTGACAGAAATGGAATTCTTTGTATGTTGGATTTCAATCAGCACATTCCTCCTTTCAGGTTCCAGTTCAGGAATTGGGGCAGGAATTGCAGTAGTGTTTGCAAAAGAAGGAGCCAAACTGTCTTTGACTGGCAGGAACCAGAAGAATTTGGAGGAAGTGGCTAAGAACTGCAAGACGAAATGTTCTGACGTAAGTAGAAACCAAGGGAGAAAGCTAGAGCTGATGAACAAATCCACACCCTTGTTTACCCTGAGCGATTCTGTATATAGAAACAGTTGTCTCAGGCGTCGCGAGTCAGGTCCTATAGGCATGCCAGCATTCGCTGCCCTTTCGAGAGTACAAACACAACGAGGTAACCTTTCGAATCGTGCCATAAAATTAGTGCCTCAGCCAATTGTTAACTACATTTCCTCACTGGCAAATCGGGTGAAACCACATCATTACAAAACAACTATTTAACAACGTGATTAACTTTCTATTTTAGGATGTTCTCATAAACGTGGGTGACGTCACGGATGCTGCTTTCAGAAAGACTCTCGTGGAGACAACCAAGAAGAAGTTCGGGAAAATCGACATACTGGTGGGTATACTTCAACTACCGCAGAAGGGTTGAAGGTGAGGTGAAATGGGGTTAAACGTCGCGTCCAAGATTACTGCACTTATATTGCGACGTGCATGCACGTGTGTGTCTGTGTGTGTGGCTGCTTGTACTTGTCCGGACTGATGCCGATTTAATAGTACTAGCCCACTGAGATACCATGCCGCAGATTAAGATGAATACCCCACTCAGACACAGTATACTGACTCCGAGCCGACCATTTTCTTGTTTTAGTCTCTTAATGCCGAGCACCGGAGAGTCTTTTGGTATGACGCGGGCGGGAATCGAACCTCAAACCTCCCGCTCTCCTGGCGGACGCTCTACCACTAGACCACGGATGCGGTCCAGAAGGGTTGAAAGGACATACACATGTATACCTTCTGTACCATCATGATACATAACAAAGAGAAACTGCTTCAAAAATTTATACAGTTCTCTTGTGTGTTGTTAACGCCGCACTCAGCAATATTTCAGTTATATGAAGGCGGCCTGTAAATAATCGAGCCGAGACAAGACACGTTCAACTGAACATATTGTTTGAAACTTGATGTTGTTTGTTTCTTGTTTATTGTCGCACTCAGCAATGGCCCATCCATTTGACAGTGACTCGTAAACAACAGTGACAGGACCAGAAAATCCTGTGATTGATATTTTGAACAACGATCTATGCTGTGGGCATATGATGAGACGGAAGCACCAAAATCACCAAACCTCATTGGTCGATCCATTAAGTCACCTCTGAACACAAGCATATGTTCTTGGGAACCAGTTCTTACCCAGAACATCCACGGGCTGCTTCTGTAGAAAGGGTTTCATGAATGATTTTGTATAATATGTAGATCGATATATTGCAAAGAATAAAATGCAACTATCTGATAAAGTTTAACTGCTGCAGAGTAGAATCCATTCACCCATCACATGGAGATTCTGGGTTAGAAGACCAGGCCCGCTATTGCCGTATGCTTGTCTGAGGTTGGAGTAAATTGGGTTTCATCAGGCTTGTGTAAATATTATGTCAATATCACAACGTTCTACACCACATTTGGGCTTCACACATTGTACCCATGTGGGGAATCTTACCAGTGTCGCCGGTTTGACGAGCAAACGCTTTAACCTCTAGGCTACACAACGGTCGTAAGAGGTGATGAAAGGGTCATTGGTTAATTGATGGAAACCATGGAATTACACCCATACAGCGTTGGTCGTTTCTCATATTAGCGATCATTGGATTGTGACTCGATTATTATAGGCTTGTCGCATGCAGAGTGTGGCGTTTTTAAAAGAACAGAAACAAGTTGTATGATATGTCTATGTTTAGGTTAACAATGCTGGGATCGCAATGCTGAGTCCGCTGAGAGCAGCGACCAAAGAGCAGTACGACAAAACAATGGCTGTGAACGTGGAGGCACCTGTGTTTTTGACACAGTTGGTTTTACCGTATTTGATTGAAACTAAAGGTACTCTCTTGTGAGTGTATGGTTTAATGTCTGTAATTATTTTTTAAAAACGATTTATTCTGAAAAACCGGAAGCAAGTTGCCTCAAAATTTACAAAGGGCCCAGCTTCTCCTTTCAGAGAAATCATTGTATGTCTTGAAGCAGTGATCAAAACACAGTCAGTCCTTATAAACGTCATATAACGCTTGTCTTAGTAACTGTATGGTTGCAATACTGCCAATAAGAGACAAACTTGTAACACATGTATGTCTTCGTTAAGATGTTACAATGTGTATAGTAGATATTACCACAGGTTCAGGGCTAAATATATCTGTTTGTTGCAGGGTGTGTGGTTAATATTTCGACTTGCGGAACGAGTACAATTGTGAGTTTTTTGTTGGCAAACACCTGGATAATTTCCATCCTGTGAAATCGACCCTTTTAAACCACCCGTGGTATTTGGAGTGCAGCATTTACATGCATCACACGTGAAGCACATTTGAGGTTGTATGGCCAAAATGGGTGCTGAGACACAAAGGGGGTATTAGTGGTGGCAATTTTAGTTTACTTCCTTTTCCAGTTGAGATATTTTAAAGAAAATTTCGAAATGTTGTGTATGAGAAAATTGTACAGCTGCATGTCTCCTTTGTAGTATCTCGTTTGGCAGATGACTTGGTTCGACAATAGTCTCCATGGTATACCTCATTTGTTATCAGACCCGGGAAGATCCGGGGTAGAATAGGTCTTCAGCAACACATGCTTGCCGTAAGAGCCGACTATGCTTGTCGAAAGAGGCGACTAACGGGATTGGGTAGTCAGGATCGCTGACTTAGTTGATGCATGTCATCGTATCCCAATTGCGTAGATTGATGCTCATGATTTCAACCACTGGATTGTCTGGTCCAGACTCGATTATTTACAGACCGCCGTCATACAGCTGGAGGTCATACGGCGTTAAACAACAAACAAAGGAACACAATCATTTACATTAATTGTACAGTCGTAAATGGTGATTTTAGAGATATTTGAACAGAAGCAAGTCCAAGACCGAAGCGGATATTCTCAAGAGATGTATAGTCTGGAAGTTAATTTAAGGTACCGAAGTTGGTATGGTATGTGTCATATGCCCTGTGACGCAGGGGTAGCATTATGCAGATGGCTGTTACAATGAATGTTCGTTCCAACCGTGACGAACAGGTCTGGTTGTTGATGACATATAGTGATAGCTAAATAGACCGATTTTTTACTCATGCACCGATTGTCTTTAAATGTAATATCCAGTTATGTATGACTGTTTAATAATCTCATACCAACTTTGACTGGAGAAGGTCCAATAGTCTTTCAGATATTGTAGTAAACGTCGGTACCTTAAATTAATTTCCGGACTATAGCTTACGACAGATGGTAAAATAATTATATTACCTAAAAGTACTCTCAACCGTCTTCGTCCCTTTAGGCATCAGAAGTGATAGAGCTGCTTGTGTTGCTTTCATATATCATGCATAGACCTTTGAACTTATCAATATTCCCTCCCGAACAGGTACCGAATGGAGGTATCTACATCATGACGAAGGCGGCCGTGGACACATTCACAAGATTCCTTGCCCAAGGTTAGTATATAAATCTTTTGGAAACCTATCGGACGCTTGGGTAGCCCACTCATGTAAGGTCCTGCAGTTTCCTGTGCAGACTTTCGACGTGCGAGAATCCGATAATTGTCGGTTTGAACCTGACATTCAAACGTAAAATAATGAAGGTCTATGCCCTTTTTATTATCGAAAAACCCGCTCTCTGTATAAATATACTCTGTGAAATGGCACATCTCCAAAACTTCGATTTAACTTCCATATACCGTTGTATTGAAATTTACCGTTTAGTTATTTAATTCCAAAATTAAAATTCCAATCCCTACCTGCAATAGTCTTTATTGCACAATGCTTTGCTTTATACTCATACATTTTGTCTCTATAGATAGGTTAGTTCGATAGTTACAAGGTCATAAGGTGGTACGCATGAACCAGTCGTCTGAGGCGCCACAGTTCGCTGTGCAGAGTTGCGTCCCTTTAGGCACACCAGGAACCTATGATAGTGGGTTCGAAACCTTGTTCACCCTGATTCTGTTTCAAGGTTTTTCAGCACCATACTCGGGGTTTCACCAAAGCTGTATAAAGGACAAACGATTTCATTTGTGGAAAAAATCCACCAGCTGACTTTTGGCTTACCTTTTACATTTAACTGAGATGCTGGTATAACTGAAATATCAAAGTTGGATTAAACCAAATTAATCACTCGATATGTATTAACATATGGGTAGCGGTAGCTTTTGTCAATAAAAACAGAAGAATTGGCATTTAAAAGAAGCGCCATACATGTTAATTTACCCGTGAGGAATCAGGTTTGGAATTGGTCCCCAACGACCTATACCTGTCGCTCAAGGCGACTGAATGGATCATCTAGTCACCACCGTCGTATCCAGATAAAATATTGCTAAGCAGTGTTAACAAAAAGCAAACAAAATACAAACACCGTTATTTCTTTCCACAGAAGTGGCTTCCCAGGGGGTACGCGTGAATGCAGTCAAGTGAGTACAATGAGAAAGGCAATACTTATGAAGAAAGTAATATTGCCTTTGTGTTAACCGTGTGTGGATGTTGTTTGATTGGGGTGGATATTTAATATCGATGGAAATACGCCAAGAATATGCAGCATGTTTTCTGTCACCAGTATTTTCATGTATTTTGATTCAATCAGATTGCACGGTTAGTAAAAACTTAAAACTCAACTCTGTTCAACATGTCCAGTATTCGATAGATGTTCATTTCTAACTACAGGTTATCAGTTTCATAATATGCATTTATAGGTGTCAATCATTAATCATGTTCTGTATAACGTAAGCAGGTATCGCACAAGTCTTCCACTTTTACATTTTTGTTTGTTTGTTGTTCAACGCCGCACTCAGCAATATTCCAGCTATAGGACGGCGGTCTGTAAATAATCGAGTCTGGACCAGACAATCCAGTGTTTGACATCATGAGCATCGATCTACACCACCCGATCCCTTTAATCGCCTCTTACGACAAGATCTATTCTACCCCGGATCTTCAAGAGTTTCCATTTTTACAATTTCAACGTAATTATTTCACACATATATATATATATATATATATATATATATATATATATATATATATACATATTGTGTTGGGCATCACGCAAGAAGTTGGAATTGGCAGGAAATAATAATATAACACATGAGCAAAACCAGTTAATCAACTCAGGGCATGGTCTTTTAGTTACACGAGGGTAATTAACATCAAACAAACCAACCAACCAATTGCGTAGATCGTGTTATCAATTACTGTATTGTCTGGTCGAGATTCGATTCTTTACAGACCGCCGTCATGTAGCTGGAATGTTGCTGAGAGCGCCGTTAAACAACAAACAGAAAACCAAAACAAATCTGGTGGGCTCAGTTGTCATGAAAGGATACGACGCCATTCTAGACGTCTGAATCTTTTTGTAATTACAAGACCCGTGAAGATCCGGGGTAGAATAGGTCTTCAGCAACCCATGCTTGCCTTAAAAGGCGACTATGCTTGTCGTAAGAGGCGACTAATGGGATCGGGTGGTCAGGCTCGCTGACTTTGTTGATGCATTTTATCGATCCCAATTGCGATTGCGGATCGATGCTTATGTTGTCAATCACTGGATTGTCTGATCCAGACTCGATTATTTACAGACCGCCGTCATATATTTGGAATATTGCCGAGTGCGGCGTTAAACAACAAAGAAACAAAGAAACAAACACATGTAATTAGAATGCTGATTATAAGTATGTCTTTTTCGTTTACGGTTGTTTTTTGAGCAAACTGGGTATGTCATACTTGGTTTCCTGCGATCATTCAATATACTGATAACTGTTCACTTGGTTTAGTGTGATTGCTGTATCACTGCATCTGTTATATTCAATGTGATTGCTGTATTCACTGTGATTGTTGTATTCACTGTCCTTGTTGTGTTTATTGTGACTGTTGTATTCACTATGATTGTGTTATTCACTCTGTTGCTTTCATTGTTTCAGACCAGGCTACGTACCTTCTCCAATACTGTCTGGGCAGTTAAATAAAGAAGAAAGTGCCATGGTGATTACCTTTACCCTACCACATCTGTCATGGACTGTCATGGACTCGCTGACTTCGTTGATGCATGTCATCAATCCCAATTGCGTGGATCGATGCTCATGATGTCAATCACTGGATTGTCTGGTCCAGACTCGATTATTTACAGACCGCCGCCATGTAGCTGGAATATTGCTGAGTGTGGCGTAAAACAACAAAACAACCAATGTCATGGAAACCAGTAATTGATAGCAAGGGCAACGTCCCATGCCGTTCATGTACGACACCCTATCAACAAAGAGAACGAGCCTGACCCCTCGATTCCACGCCTCTTACGACAAGTGTAACCCACTGATGATTTATTTTTAACCCAGAATTACCGCATGTGATGTGAAGCAGCTTGGTGTTAGAACTGTTATAGTGCAAACCATTTCAATACTTTTATTTAAGGCTTCATTTATCTTAAATTCCTAATTGGTTCTATATTTTTCCAAGTGCACCGAAGTTGTATGCCCTTTGTTTAATATATTCAAACAATATTCGGCGTATCCCCTCTTATCATAAGCCCCCTCCAGGCAGGACCCTTAAACTCCAGCTCTATCTTTAAATGTCAGTTAACACCTTCTTACGTCGCCGGATCTTACGTGTATACATACTCGCGGGACAATGACCTTGCAACACGTTATGTTATACCCCTGTCTATAAAAGAGATGCGGCAGAGATCGATTTGTGTAAGTGACAGAGCTGGTGTTCCCACCCGGGAACATTGGCCACTCGGTCCCGGTGTGCGTTCTGTCACGTTATTATCAACATGTACCTTTTCGACCTGTTCCACCCATCATCAATAAACATGGCTGCTGTTGTCTTAAACTTCACCCCTAAGGTTTGTCGTCCGTCATCACCCTGAGCTACCATCCGAGGGCCGAAACGTACGCCCTTGGACAGACCCATCTGTATAGAACCAGCGCCTGTTGTATTTTCTTATCACGACATATTCGCTACACTCTTTCACTCACTCACTCACTCCGTTTCAGATGGACAAAACCATGATTAAAGCGACGCCAATTGGTCGAGCGGCTACAGCAGAGGAAATTGGACACATTGTTGCCTTCTTGGCCTCGGAAAAAGCAGCCTTTATAACAGGGGAATGTATCTTGGCCGATGGTGGGATGACAATGACCACACCACCCATCTCAGCATAAGAATCCGGATTCAATGACGTCTTTTTGCCTCCACTGTCTGCAGATTGTGTACTACCAAATACGCAAGGCCACTGGTCAAATTGAGTGAGTGTGAGTGAGTGAGTTAAAATTTAACGTGACATCGGCAGTGTTTCAGCCATATCGTGACGAGAAGTTATACATTGATAATACTATATAAAAAGCTGTCAACGATGGAAAGTACAATAACTAGAATGTCACAGATTTGATTTAAAACTTGTTGAGAATATTAAAAAGCAATAGGTATTAGAGAACAACACAATATAAAAATGGGCTAGAGATCGTCAGTCGCTGAAGGGTGATCACCAGACTTGGGACCATGGGGACTTTCAGTACCTTTGCTTCCTGCATGATCATGAACCCCAGCAGGATTAATATCACCCGACGGTCACTAGGGGTAATTGACCAGTTCAGCCTAAGATTAAAATGACAAAAATACTACGTTTAAAAGTCTGGCATGCATAGAAATTACTTTGAATGACGTGGAACTTACATAACCTCTTAGGGGGACAATAATATGACGCTACTTCAACCACCCTCGAGGGTACAGCCACTAACAATCTCAGTTTGTATTCGCACTACCAATATATAAAAAAACATTATGGACATCAAAATTTATGTATTGATTCAATTTCCTTTAAAATGCACAATACAAAATGAGAATTTACTTGACTAAAAAGGTCCTTGACTGTTTTTACACAATAGAATTTATCCCTTGCGATGGAAAAATCAATGCAGTCAAGCAGGATATGCTTGACCGTGATTCTTTCATCACAAGGGACTCAAAACGGAGGCTCATCACCTTTCAATAAGTATTCATTTGTATATCGACTGTGGCCATTACGACATCGTCGCATAATGACCTCTTCAAATCTGGACTGACAGCCCAAATAGGTATAACCAATATTTGGTTTAATTTCATGTAATTTATTGATACCTACATGGGTGTCCCACTTCTTTTGCATCAGATCTCGGATATAACAGCTGAAGAGTGGTTTGATATCGGTCTATGGGATACGAAGTGGCGTCACAGACTTGTTGAGTGCTGCTTTTGCAGCAGCATCGGCCATTGTGTTCCCAGTGATTCCAACATGGCTGGGCAACCAACAGAAAACAATGTCGCATTGGCCAGAAGCAAGATCATTAAACAATTCAATAATTTTTAATTATAAGTGGATGCGTGGTTGACATGTTTTTAATAGCCTGGATGCAAGAAAGAAAATCAGAAAAAATTATGAAGTGTTTATGTTTAGAATGGCTGTTGATGTATTTAAGTGCTGTGAAAATAGCATTTGCTTCTGCTGTAAAAATAGAACAGTTATTTGGTAAGCGGGATGAGATAGTCCTGGATCCAAGGACAGTGGCGCTAGCAACAGCGTCACCATCTTTGGATCCATCTGTAAATATAGATTTGTAAGCATCATATGTGCTGCGTTATTCATGATATTGTTGTTGATAAATTAGTTGATTTGTGTCAGATTTCTTTAGTTTGGTTAATGTTAGGTTCACCTCCGGCTTCACAAACTGCCATGGTGGAGAAGAAAAAAGCTGAGTGGGGGCAATGTTTTCAAGCTTTATTTGCGCAGCAGAAATATGAGATTTTATTCTTATTCAAAGAGGTGTAAGAAGAGATGACTTTGTGTGGTAGAGATTTTCGTGTAGAGGATTAAAAATACAATCATAAGTTGGGTTGGATTTCAAAGAACGTAATTTAGATATATATTGCAAAGACAATTGAATGCGACGTTGTTTAAGGGACGGCTCATCAGCCGCCACATACAGACGTTGTATCGGCAAGGTTCGGAAGGTTCCAAGGCAAAGCCTCAGGCCTTGATGGTGAATAGGATCTAGAATTTTTAAATTGCTTTTACAAGCTCCACCATAAATGATGGAGCCATAATCTAGTTTGGAGCAGATAAGTGCTCTGTATAGTTGCAGGAGGGTTTTCTGATCTCCTCCCCACTTAGAGTTTGAGACAACTTTAAGTAAGTCCAGGGCCTTCAGACATACTGTCTGTCTGTCTGTCTGTCTGTCTGTCATATTCATCAAATATAAACATATAAACTTTCGATAAACTATTAATTTTAATGCTAAATAATGTGACAGACAAGATACTGCCTTCTGGGACACCCTGGTCCTGATTATTATGATCAGACAGGGACTTGAAATTGTCCGTCTGTTAAAAATTTGGATATAAACTGAGGCAAAGGGCCTCGCAATCCAAAGTTTATGTAAATCCTTTAAATTACCATGTTTCCATGTAGTGTCATATGCTTTTTCTAGATCGAAAAAGATTGAGACTGCATGTTGTTTGTTTATTATTGCATTTTTTACAAAGGATTCTAATCGTACTAAATGATCGATAGTACTTCTGTTCTTACGGAAACCACACTGTATATTTGTAATGACATTATTGGTTTCTTAGTACCAAACAAGTCGATTATTACAATGCGTTCCATGTTTTTGTAAACGCAGCTTGTCATTGAGATCGGTCGATAATTTGATGGATCTGTCTGATCACGTCCTGGTTTAGGTATTCGAACAACAATGGCATCACGCACAAACGGTGAAAATCGTCCTGACGTCCAAATGTCATCAAAAATATTTAACAGTGATTGTAAACATGGTTCTGGTAAGTGGTTCAGGAGTTAATAATGTATGTTATCAGCTCCAGTAGCAGTATCGTTAGCTTGTCCGAGGGCAGGTTGTAGTTCATGTAATATTTCATTGTAATCTTCCCCATTATCTGAATTAAAATGAATAGGTTTCTTTTCCTGCTGTTTTTGATATTTTTTTAATTTGGGTACATAATTGGATGAGGAAGAATATTTAGCCAAAGTTTCACCCAGTTTATTAGCGATATCTGTTTTATCAGTTAATAATTCATTCCCATTTTGAAAATGTTGGATACCAGATTTAGAACCCTTACCTTTTATCTTTTTAATCATGTTCCATACCTTCGACATTGGCGTACGTGAATTTTTTAAACGTAAGCTTGCCAAGACATTCGTTTATTTTGCTTAAAGGTACGCCACGCTTAAGAATTAACGATTTTGAACTTATTTAAATTATGTACCATATGATGGTGACGGAAATACTTTTCAGCTTTCTTCCGTGACTTCCAAGCTTGTTTGCAAGTATCATAAAACCATGGTTTACGGATATGTGCATTGGCAGTGGACTTAGGAACACATTGATCAGCTATTTTATGTAGTTCATTAGAAAACACTTGTATTGAATCAGACACATCAATAAAACGATCAGGATGTAATTTGCTTTTACAGAGTATTTCAAACAAAGACCAGTCAGCTTTAGTGAAGTTCCATCTTGATGATGGAGGGATATCAGATGGAGTTATTGTTTTGAAGAATTGTCGGAAAATGGTCACTTCCACAGAGGTCATCATGGACTGACCATCCAAATTCATTCAGAAGTTCAGAATTAGTGAGTGATAAATCAAGAGATGAATATGTGCCTGTACCAGGATGTAAATAAGTTTTAGAGTTATCGTTAAAAATGCATAAGTCGTTCTTGGAAACAAAGTCTTCTAATATCTTCCCTTTACTATTTGTAGCATCACTACCCCAAAGTGGACTATGTCCATTTAGATCTCCCATAATGATACAGGGCTTTGGTAGCTGGTCATACAATGCTTGAAGATCAGGTATGTGAAGAGTGGCCGATGGTGGTATACATAGAGAACATAATGTGAAAACAAAGTTTAAAGTTAACCGAACAGGAAAAACAGGTTGAAGTGGCGTATTAAGAGGAACAAGGCTGTGTATAATACCCTGCCTCACAACGACAAAAGAACCTTCAGTGGCTTTAGCGGCTGGAGGTGAATAGAAATGATATGTATCATACTGTCATATGTCAAGTAAATCAGCATTTTTTAAGTAGTGAGTGAGTGAGTTAAAGCTTTACGTCACATCGGCAATATTTCAGCCATATCGTGACGAGAACATTTATAATACTGACATAGAATAAAACACCTGTCATCGACGGACAGTAGAACAACTAGCATATCACAGTTTATAAATAAAACTAGTCTAGAACAATTAAAAGAATAACCTATTATTGAACAATACATTATAAAAAACGGGCTAGAGATCGCCAGCAACCAAAGTTAGGCCACCTAACTGGGGCCCGTGGGGACTTACAATACTTCTGCTACCTGCATGGCTCCCCAGCAGGATTTACACCATCCCTTCAGCAGCTGGCGATGGTACGCAATTAAGCCATAATTAAAACAAAACAAATATACTACGTTTAAAAACAGTGGTATGAATAAACGTACTTTCAGGACGTGGTCTTACATATCCTCTCAGGGGGACAATAATTTTACACTACTTCAACCCCCTTTGAGGATACAGCCACTAACCATCTATGTTACTCATTAAACACTACCAATATTATAAAAATCAACTATGTACACAATCAAAATTTATCAATAAGTTCTATTTCTTTTAAAAATCCAACAATTAAATGACAACTGATACTATTAAAAAGATCCTTTAGAGATGAAGATTTGAAATAGTTATCCCTTGTGATGGCAAAATCAACACAGTCAAGCAGGACATGCTGGACTGTGATTCTTTCATCACAAGGGATGCAAAACGGTGGATCCTCACCTTTCAATAGATACTCATGTGTATATCTTGAATGGCCAATACGACATCGTCGGACAATGACCTCTTCAAACCTGGACTGACAACCCAAGTAGGTATAACCGATATTTGGTTTTATTTCATGTAATTTATTTATACCCACTTGGGTGTCCCACTTCTTCTGCATTAGATTTCTGATGTAAGAACGGATAACAGGTTTATAGTCACTGTAGGGAAGAAGAAGTGGTGTCACAGATTTGTTGAGTGCTGCTTTAGCTGCAGCATCAGCCATTGTGTTGCCTTTTATGCCCACATGACTGGGCAACCAACAAAAGACGATGTCGTATTGGCCAGTTGAAAGATCATTATAAAGTTCTAAAATGTTTAAAATAATTGGATGTTTAGAGGAGACTTTTTTCAGTGCCTGAAGGCAAGACAAAGAATCCGAAAAGATGATAAATTGTTTATATGCAGACTGTCGTTGAATGTATTTTAAGGCTGTAAGAAGAGCATTGGCCTCAGCAGTGAAAATAGAGCTAGTGTCTGGTATTCTAGATGAGATATGTTTTGATCCAACAACAGTGGCACATGCCACCTTGCCATCATCCTTGGATCCATCAGTAAAGATTGAACGGTGGGTGTCATATTTATTTCTTAGTTCTACATATTCCTGTTGATATATAAGTTGATTGGTGTCAGATTTAATAAAACGGGTTAGAGAAACATCTACTTCTGGCCTCACCAGCTGCCAGGGAGGAGAAGACAAGAGACGATATGGTGAGATAATATCAAGATCTATATTTGCAGCAATAATATGTGATTTCATCCGAATTCCAAGTGGTGGAATCAGCTTTGTTTTTTTCTGAAACAGCTCTTCATATAGGGGTTGAAAAACGGAGTCATAAGCAGGATTAGAAGGATTAGAGTGTAATTTAGTGATATATTGAAGAGACAATTTAACACGGCGTTGTTTCAAAGGGAGTTCATCAGCCTCGACATAGAGGCTGTCAACAGGAGAAGTTCTAAAAGCACCAAGACACAGTCTGAGTCCTTGGTGGTGGATTGAATCTAGCTTTTTTAAATTGCTCTTGCAAGCTCCAGCATATACAATGGAGCCATAATCTAATTTAGAACGAATCAATGATCTATAAAGGTGAAGGAGGGTTGTCTGATCCCCTCCCCACTTAGAATGCGAGACGACTTTTAGCAGATCTAGGGCCTTCAGGCATTTAGTCTTTAAATATTTGATATGTGGCAAAAACGTCAAATGGTGGTCGAAAATTAATCCCAAAAATTTGGCTTCTTTAACAACCTTAATTGGAGTGCCATCTAAAGAGAGTTCTGGATCGTTATGGAGTTTATATTTCCGACAGAAATGAATACAATTTGTTTTGGTCTGTGAAAACTTAAATCCATTCTCAAGACACCATTTAGTAATTTTATTAAGACACAACTGTAACTGTCTTTCAATGGTATGCATATTTTGACCACGACATGAAATATTAAAATCATCCACAAACAATGACCCATCTATTGAGTCATTTAATACTTTAGATAAACTATTTATTTTGATGCTAAACAAAGTGACAGACAAAATACTGCCCTGTGGAACCCCCTGATCCTGATTATAATGATCAGACAGGGTTGATCCAACACGAACTTGAAATTGTCTGTCAGTTAAAAACTGTGATACAAATTGAGGCAAGCGGCCTCTTAAACCAAAGTCATGTAAATCTTTTAAAATACCATGCTTCCAAGTGGTATCATAAGCTTTTTCAAGATCGAAAAAGATAGATACAGCATGCTGTTTATTTACAAAAGCACTTTTAACAAATGATTCTAAACGAACCAAATGGTCAATTGTACTTCGGTTTTTACGGAAACCACATTGGATGTTACTAATCAGATTATTGGTTTCTAAAAACCAAACTAATCGATTATTTACCATGCGCTCCATGGTTTTACAAACACAGCTAGTTAATGAAATAGGTCGATAATTTGATGGATCGGTATGATCCCTGCCAGGTTTTGGTATGGGTACAACTATCGCATTTCTCCATGAAGGAGGAAAATGTCCAGTTGTCCATATATGATCAAAAATATTCAGTAGCGTTGTAAGACAAGAATCAGGCAAATGTTTTAAGAGCTGATAATGAATATCATCAGCACCAGTCGCAGTATCATGAGCTTGTGCTAAAGCAGTGTGTAGTTCATTTAGTGAAAAAACTTCATTATAATCTTCGCCGTTGTCAGAATTAAAATTAACGTTTTTCTTCTCTTGTTGTTGTTGATACTTCTGAAACTTTGGATTATAATTTGACGAAGAAGAATGTTTAGCTAAAGTTTCGCCCAATTTATTAGCAATATCTGATTTTTCCGTCAATAAATTATTGTCATCTTTAAGATGACGAATGCAAGATTTAGAACCCTTGCCTTTGATTCTTTGGATCATGTTCCATACCTTTGACATAGGCGTGCGTGAATTTATTTTAGAAACATATTTCTTCCAAGACTGACGTTTATTGTGTTTAAATGTTCGTCGAGCCTTGGCAGAGTTAATTTTCACAGTGTTTAAATTATGTACAGTAGGATGGCGTCGAAAGTATTTCTCTGCCTTCTTCCTACGCTTCCTAGCTTGTTTGCATTCGTCATTAAACCATGGTTTCCGAATATGTGAGTTCATAGAGGACTTAGGAATAGATTCATCAGCTATGTTCTTCAGTATGTCAGAGAATGATTGAATTGGATCAGTGACATCCATGAAAAGGTTTGGTTTCAATTTGTCAATACACATAGTCTGAAATAATGGCCAATTGGCTTTTGAAAAATTCCATCGTGTTGAAGGTGGAGCATCTGTGGGATTTACAGCTGTAATTACCGTCGGAAAATGATCACTGCCACAGAGGTCATCATGGACCGACCATTCAAATTCATTATATATGTTAGAATCTGTGATTGACAGATCTAATGCAGAATACGCACCAGTTGCAGGATGTAAATATGTGTTCGAGCCGTCGTTGAATATGCATAGATTATTATTAGAAATAAAATCTTCAAGGATTTTCCCTTTAGTGTTAGTATTTGAACTGCCCCATAGAGGGTTATGACCATTAAGATCACCCATGATGATACAGGGCTTAGGGAGCTGGTCAAATAAATCCTGAAGATCGGACTGCTGAAGATTCGAGGATGGAGAAATGTATAATCAACAAAGTGTGAAG